AGTCATTTATGGAATTGTTAATGTATAATAATCTCAAATTGTCAGTGTCTATTCTAGGATTTGAAAAACGGGGGATTTTTATCGAAAAGTGAGAATTTATTACATTTGTTGATTTTTTTTCTTCTTTCTCTATGTTAAATTTTCCCCCTGCCTCTGAAAAACTAGGGGGGAATTCTCAAAAATAGGGGTGAATCCCCCAATCCCCCTCCTAGAACAAACACTGATTGTAGGTGTGATACGCAAACGGCAATGAATAAGGTAAATCACACAAGTCCAAAATCGATGAAAGAAGTATGCACTTTCTTTTAAAACAAAACAGTTATTGAGACAGCACATAAATGGCACCTGATTTAAACTAAAGGGACACAACTTAGGCTGGAAGCTTTTTCTACAACTGTACTGGCTAACTGTGGCTAACATTTGTGATTGATAATTTTTGAAAGTTTTCGGTTTCTTTTAAACATAATCAGTAGCTTGAATACCTCACTTTGCTTGAACTCATCACCAGTCACGACAAAGTTCCTATATAGTTTATATTGTCCTACCTCAGATTGCTTTGAACCTGATATCTTGTCCCTTTGGGAGAAATATATTGAAAATCACAGAAAAAGACAACAAAAGTTACGGACAACATGCTTTGAATTGGCATCATATAGGTGCAACTTTTGTCTGCGGCGTTGTTGTCGGCGTCCCCTTAAGCTTGTGCGGAGCATGAGTCGGTCACTAAAAGTTGGATTGACTCCGAACTTGGTATGCATGCTTCTTATAAGTGCACAAGAATCGTTACTCTGTACTTCTTTATTTTTGAGTTATTGCCCTTTGTTAATTTTCATATTTAATTTTTGTTCGGGGCATTTCTCCTACTAAAGTATAAAAGCTAAGGACTGAAACTTCATAGGATGATAGATCTCATTTAGAAGAAGTGCACTGCACAAAAACTGATACTCTGTACTACATGATTTTAGACTAATTGCCCTTTGTTAATTTTCTTACTTAGTAGACATGAGTGTTATAACAGGGTTGCAGTGTATCTTGATGTATACTGACGTATATGTCCCGGGCCATATTCTGATAACTGTGTGTCCAGAAACCTACAGATGTTAATACTTTAAACCTATGTCAAGTAATGCACGAATGTCACCCTCTTTGTCTAAAAGACTTTAAAAATGCGGAGAAATTATCTATTAAAAATTTTAATAAACAATCTGCAAGGAAGGGGTATTAAAGGACAAAGAAAAATGAAGCAAAAAAATTTCAAGATTGCTATTTCAGAACATGTCTATCATGAAGGTTAACTAAAGTGGGTAAATCACCCCCAAACTTGGGAAAAAATTTTAATTTAAATATTGATTTCCCAACAGCTTAAATACTTTGTTTTGCATCCACTATTTGTACGCAGACTGCATTAATTGGCTACTAACCCATTAGAAGTGCAGAAGTGTTTACTAATACAGTCAAACTTCGTTTGCTTGAACTCTGAGGGTCTGTGCAAATTTGTTCAAAAGATCGGTAGTTCGAGCCAACCGAGGTTGAACTATTATCACGTTGGGCATAGGCCTAAACGTTCTTCAGCTTACACCCGTCAAATGATAAATACGTCAGTATAATTGTTTGTTAGTACATCAGTTCGTCGAATACATCATTTCTTTTAAATATTAAGAATTTTAAAATGAGTATTAACGGTACATGTTTTAATCTATATTCATGCATATTATAAATGGTTGAGTTCGATTGGGCAATCGTTTTCCAATCTTATTGAACAATATTCAAAATATATTTTTATGTGTATTATGGGATAAAATGAATTTTAAACGATGAATTAACTAATTATTTAAAAAACAACGACATTTAACAGCAGCATTTATTTGTAGTCATTTACTAAAATAAACACACATACAAGTATCATTCTATAGATATTCACGTTACATGCACCAAGGTTTTGATTAAAGCCGTCCGAGTAAACGTCATCTATTTATTGACTTGCACATTTAACTTAATATTTCACAAGTTATTTTCCTTTTATCCTTACTGAAGAGGGCAAATAAACAGTATTATCATAACAAACAATTCGGTTACAACACCTTTAGTTTTGTATCAATTAACATTAATTGCCTTTATCACGATCACGAGGTGTTTAAAACGTGTTGCCGGCTGTCACTTATTTAGAACATGTCGACCCGCAACTTTTGTTGTCTTTTTTTGTTTGACCAAAATGGTGTGGTTGTAACTGTATTTCTGCCCAATGGACCAGAGATCAGGTTCGAAAGTTTGAGGGATCAGTGTTCGAGCGATCTGAGATAGAACAATATGTAACATATAGGATAGGAATTTTGCAGGAACTGGGCGATGAGTTCGAGCAAAGGGAGGTATTCAAGCAATCCAGAGTTGGAGCGAACGAAGTTTAACTGTAATAGATAAACTTGTTGTTATTTATGAAGTCGAACTCTCAATCATTAAAAGTTTGGAATAAAGTGCACATGTGTAAACTAAATGTAGGTGCCCCGCCTTATAATTAGGACAACTTGACATTGGTAGAATATTTTAAGTGAGAACTACATTGTAAGTCAATTTTTTATTTACTACTGTTTTTTATGGTCATTTTGTTTATAATGTCATGGAGAAAACATAGAAAAACATAAGCGTTTTTAACATTTTGATCTAGCATGTATAAATCATAAATTGATGAGGATTTTCTTTTAACATTTATCAGTTTTTGCACACAGGCACATGAAAGGTAAAGTTTCACTCCTCTTTACATATTGTTTCAGTATATTTAACGTCATATGAAAGTGTCCTCAAACTATCAGCAACAAAATTGCACAGGGAAGGGCTAATGTTGATATCACAAAAATCATTCACATCCAATATTTTTCAGAAAATTGCAACATTTTAAGGGATACACATATGAACAATGTGCACTCTGTAACCTGACTCACCTTTGCTATTTAAACATCGAATGACATAACTGATAGTATGAAATATGCCCCCTAAACTTCACCCATCATACTTTCTATAAGCTGAAGGCATTCCAGCGGGGTCAAATGAGGCTAAACACTAAATAAGTTAGTTTTATTAAGTGAACATTTTAACAATTTAGAAGTCACAGTCACTCCCTTGGGTCACTTCCTTTGGGGTTCTTCATTGTTAAAATTTCACTTAATAAACATTAACATATACTTCAGCTGTATCAAATGACATATATTTATGATACATATAAGTGGTAAAATTATGTTGTTTCCATAATCCTGCATTCCATAATGTTACGGATAATTCTAAAAAGAGTTGCAAAATAGAATGTCTCTGTTATTTAACATGTGAATATTGTACCGAAACTGAATAAAATGTTCTGGAACAAAATATTATGCTGCTGTCTTAAAAAGGGTTTTGACTGCTAAGCAAAGAGTTTGCTCATGCACTATCTGCTTTTATTGAGGAAAAAGCACAAACATATTTCTTTCATATAGATATTTTTAAATTATTCTTTTTAAACAATACATGTGTATTTTCTGAACTGCAGCCAACAGATGTATATAGCTTTATGCACTTAAAGCATTTTATGCAGTGCATTAAGTTTAATGTTTAAGTTAAACAAAAAAATAATTTCTTAAAATATAAAAACGTCTGACTTTGTTCTCAGTTTTGAATTTTTTAATGAATAGCCAATTTTTATCAATCTTTATTATGCCACCGCAGCATCTGCGATGCGGTGGCATATAGCGATTCACCTGTGTGTGTGTGTGTGTTTGTTTGTTTGTGTGTTATATAGATTATATAGTGAACTTCAAAAATGTTCTTGTGAAAAACCACTAGCCCAATTTCAACCAAACTTGGCAGGATTGATCCTTGGGTGAAGGGCTTCCAAAGTTGTTCAAAGAATTTCATTCCATGCAGAAATCTGGTTGCCATGGCAACCAAAAGGAATTATAAGAATAAATTTAAAAAATCTTCTTGTAAAGACCCAAAAGGCCTAGAGCTTAGATATTTTGCATAAAGCATTGTCTGGTAGACCTCTAACAAGATTGTTCAAATTATAGCCCTAGGGTCAAAATCGGCCCCGCCCCGGGGGTCATTGATTTTCACTATATGTACATACAAAGGTTAGAGGTTAAATATATGGCATGAGACTTTATGAGGCTTGAACCTCTACCAAGATTGTTCAAATTATAGCCCTGGGGTCAAAATTGGTTCCACCCCAGGGGTCATTGATTTTCATTATGTACATATAGTAAAAAAAAAAATATTTTTGTCTGAAGGTACAAGGCATAGAGCTTTGATGTTTGCTATATAATATCATCTATAGGTCCTCTACCAAAGTTGTTCAAATTTTCCCTTGGTGTCAAAATTGGCCCTGCCAGGGGGCAGTGATTCTCATTATGTACACATTGTAAAAACAGAAAATAAAACAAATGTTTTCTGAATGGGAGAAAGCTACAGCTTAGATATTTGACTTGAAATGTTGTTTGGTGGACCTGTATCAAGATTGTTTTGAATTAAACCCTTGGGTCAAAATTTTGCCTTGCCCAAGGGGAAAGTGACCTACTTTCTTGTCCTTTGATGTACAGCAATGGAATTTTGACCATGTGCACAGTTTAAGTTGTAAAGTGATTAGTGAACTTTGATATCAGCTGACCTAGATTTTGACAAAGTGTCTTACTGTGTTGTCCTTTGATGTAGTCACAATATTTAGGCTGTGTGAAATATGACCTTCACCACCAAAGTCACCAGACTCAAGTGCATTGATATATTCCTACTCTGATCTTTTATTGGATTAACAATAGATTTAACCACTAATCTGATAATAAGAATTAGATAGGTCAGGGATCTATGCATTATGACAATCTTCAATTGTATAGAAACAAAAAAAAATCTGTTCCTACACTACTATTTAGTGTTGTATTAATGCGATGGCATAGCATTTTTCTCAAATGCAATCTTGTTCATTTCAAGAATTAATTATCTCCCTTTACATTGCATTATCCCACGACTTGAAAGGAGGAGATGAAAAAAGGTATTCACTATTCAGTACCGCAAGAAAATCCATAAATAAATGCTTGAACTTGAACATTACATGTTCATTCCATTTGCAATACAGTTAAAAGGTTAATTCCAAAAAGTTGTTTATATATCAAAATGGGATAGACTAGAAATGCCTAGAGATTACTTTTATTTCTATTTTAAGGCCATGAAACTATGTCAGCATCTAAAAATAGATCACTGGACTGGTCCAGATGTGCGGAGGGGTTTGCAGATTTTAATATTGACAGTGGAAGTGCAACAAAAAAGAAAATAGAGCCAGTGAAAAGAAAATCTTCTGAATCTGTATTCAGTCACGGAAATATATTTGAAAAATTGGCATTTGGCTATGAGGAAGACAAAAGTAAGATATCTGTTGTTGTTATAATCAAGTGTCCAATTAATAGATTGATTTTTAGCTTGACTATTCACAGAATACTCGAGCTAATGCTGTCACCCATGTGTCGGCGTCAGCATCCCTGTGGTTAAGTTTTTTACATGTAAGCTGGTATCTCTATAACTACTGAAGGGAATGGATTGAAACTTCACACACTTTGTTTCCTGTGATTATCTACATGATTGGCACAAGTCCAATAACTTCTAATAAGAAATTCTTGGTTAACTTTTTGGGTGTTAGCTGGTATCTCTATAATTATTGAAGGGAATGATTGAAACTTCACACACTTTGTTTTATTAGATTATAACATGATTGGAACAAGTCCCATAACTCTGATTTGCTTTTTTGCATATTTATGCCCCTTTTTCGACTTAGAAATTCTTGGTTAAGTTTTTGGGTGTTAGCTGGTATCTCTATAACTACTGAAGGGAATGGATTGAAACTTCACATGCTTGTTTTCTGTGATTATCTACATGATTTGCACAAGTCTCATAACTCTAATTTGCTTTTTTGCATATTATGCCCCATTTTCGACCTAGAAATTCTTGGTTAAGTTTTTGGGTGTTAGCTGGTGTCTCCATAATTATTGAAGGGAATAGATTGAAACTTCACATGCTTGTTTTCTGTATTAGCTACATGATTGGCACAAGTCCAATAACTTTAATTTGCTTTTTTGCATATTTATGCCCCATTTTCGACTTAGAAATTCTTGGTTAAGTTTAAGTGGGTATCTCTATAACTATAAGTGTTTGTTCCTTTTTTTTGTGAAAATGTTATGCATTCATTATATTCAAGCAGTGATTTACTTGATAAAATATCTTAATAACAAGCCTTTGTAGTCCTTTTTGGGACAATGTTATTTATTCATATAGGTAAGCATTATTTTACTCAATAAAACACCCTTGTGACAACTTTCGAATTATCAAATGTGGCTAGCCTCTGACAGCTCTGGTTATATACCTGTTTATATATTTTTTGTGTCCCCTCTACGGAGTAGTGGCGACATATAGGGATCACTTCTCCGTCATCTGTCTATCCGCACTCACAGGAGAGTAATTATGTGGCTAGAGGGACAATAGGTAACTGTTCTATCTCTTTGATGTCATTCATTCCGTAATGCTTTTATGTGACTATTTTCTTTTGTGTGGCTAAAAAGAACAATAGAGAGAACAATAGAGTAGCCACATAATTACTGTCCTGTGAGAACTTTCGTCTGTCTGTCCGTCCGTCACAAAACTTGTCCGGACTACTCCTCATAAACTACTGGTGCAATTTCATCCAAACTTTACAGGAATAATCAGTACCAAGTCCAGTTGTGCATATTGTCAGCATTTTCCGGTTCAATGATTTTTGTCAGAGTTATAGCCCTTTAATAATTTTTATTTTTAAAGTTTGTCCGGACTACTTCTCTTATACCACTAAATTTCAATGAAACTTTACAGGATTGATCTGTAGCTCAAGTCCTTGCACATATTGCACGAGTTTTGCGGTTGAATGATTTTTGGCAGAGTTATGGCCCTTTGATAAAAAGGTGTTTTTTAGCTCGACTATTCGATAAGAATAAGTAGAGCTATTGCAGTCACCCGAGCGTCGGCGTCGGCGTCGGCGTCGGCGTAACCACTTATGTTAAAGTTTTTGTAATAGTTCATATATTTTCAAAGTCCATTGACATATGGCTTTGAAACTTTGCACACTTGTTCACCATCATGAGCCCAACCTGTAGACAGGAGGAGGTAACTCTATCAAGCATTTTGACAGAATTATGCCCCTTTTTCGACTTAGAATTTACGTTAAAGTTTTTGTAATAGTTCAAATATTTTCAAAGTCCATTGACATATGGCTTTGAAACTTTGCACACTTGTTCACCATCATGACCCCAACCTGTAGACAGGAGGAGGTAACTCTATCAAGCATTTTGACAGAATTATGCCCCTTTTTCGACTTAGAATTTACGTTAAAGTTTTTGTAATAGTTCAAATATTTTCAAAGTCCATTGACATATGGCTTTGAAACTTTGCACACTTGTTGACCATCATGAACCCAACCTGTAGACAGGAGGAGGTAACTCTATCAAGCATTTTGACAGAATTATGCCCCTTTTTCGACTTAGAATTTACGTTAAAGTTTTTGTAATAGTTCAAATATTTTCAAAGTCCATTGACATATGGCTTTGAAACTTTGCACACTTGTTCACCATCATGACCCCAACCTGTAGACAGGAGGAGGTAACTCTATCAAGCATTTTGACAGAATTATGCCCCTTTTTCGACTTAGAATTTACGTTAAAGTTTTTGTAATAGTTCAAATATTTTCAAAGTCCATTGACATATGGCTTTGAAACTTTGCACACTTGTTCACCATCATATCCCCAACCTGTAGGCAGGAGGAGGTAACTCTATCAAGCATTTTGACAGAATTATGCCCCTTTTTCGACTTAGAATTTACGTTAAAGTTTTTGTAATAGTTCAAATATTTTCAAAGTCCATTGACATATGGCTTTGAAACTTTGCACACTTGTTCACCATCATGAACCCAACCTGTAGACAGGAGGAGGTAACTCTATCAAGCATTTTGACAGAATTATGCCCCTTTTTTGACTTAGAATTAACGTTAAAGTTTTTGTAATAGTTCAAATATTTTCAAAGTCCATTGACATATGGCTTTGAAACTTTGCACACTTGTTCAACATCATGACCCCAATCTGTAAACAGTAGGAGGTAACTCTATCAAGCATTTTGACAGAATAATGCCCCTTTTTCGACTTAGAATTTACGTTAAAGTTTTTGTAATAGTTCAAATATTTTCAAAGTCCATTGACATATGGCTTTGAAACTTTGCACACTTGTTCACCATCATGACCCCAACCTGTAAACAGGAGGAGGTAACTGTATCAGGCATTTTTTTTACTATCAAGCAGTAAGAATAGTCGAGCATGCTGTCCTACCGACAGCTCTTGTTTCTGTGTGTTGCCAGATACACAAAAGCTTGTCCGGACTACTCCTCATAAACTACTGGTGCAATTTTATCAAAACTTTACAGGAATGATCAGTACCAAGTCTAGTTGTGCACTGTCCGTCTGTCTGTCACAAAACTTGTCCCAACATGAAATTGGCCATCATGAGGCTACACATGTGATCACTGATCGCTCTTGTTATTAGGAGCACACTTCTATTTTTGTTCTTTTAAAGCAAATATATTCTTATATAATTTTCTCTGTTTGTCAGTTTATTGTTTTGAAAACATGTATTTTATTATGTACAAAGTTTGAGTATCATAGTGTGTCATATATTTTAAAATAGGTCAAAGTATCACATGGAGTTCAAGTGAAGATGAGAAAGTGGAGAAAATTGTACCAGTTGTGAAGAAACCTAAACGTCAGAAGACACCAAAAACTAGTGCACCAGCAAGACGATCTACCAGAAGAAGCAATGTAAAAATAATTTAACTTAATGTTTATGTTTATTAACCCATCTATGCATTTTAATTTCAAATGAAAATTAAACAGTTATTAAGTTGAGTCATACCAGCTAGGGAACACATGTGTACACGCTAGCCTTTTAATATACTAGCACTTAAGACATACATGATAAGTCATTAATACATGACATGAACATCTGTAACATTATTGGGTTAAATTAAGAGTGAGATATGGGGTCTCTGAGGTGAATCAACATATTAAATGTTGTAGATTCAAATTCAACTAGAAATATAAGATATGTTCATGTTGAGAATCTACTCATATTATTTGCTCCATGTTCCTGTTGAGAATCTACCCATATGCTGATTTTTTCCATGTTCAAGTTGAGAATCTACCCATATGCTTATTTGTACCATGTTCATGTTGAGTATCTACCCATATGCTTATTTGTTCCATGTTCATGTTGAGTATCTACCCATATGCTTATTTTTTCCATGTTCATGTTGAGTATCTACCCATATGCTTATTTGTTCCTCAGACTAAAATGATAGACAAGGAGTCTTTTCTTGAAAGTCTTACTGAGTTTTACCATGGTTCTTTTTATTCTGTTATACCTATATGTTAGTGATTTGATTTTATCTTGACTTAAATATGAAAATGAGAATTTGTACAGCCTTTTCTCTGACTTTTCATATGACATAAAGTAGTAAATAGTAATCATTTACAAGTCTGTGAAACTACAGTAACTGTTCAAACAGTTTAAACAGATGTACATGTAGCACATATAGCAGTGTATCATAATTCTTTATTTCCCACCTTTAATATATTACTAACCAGTGAAAGTCCAGAAATTATGGTCTTCCAATATAAATCATTACTGGATGCAACCATATAAATCTAGCATCATTTTCAGTTTCTGATTTAAAAAAAAACATATCTAATTACTATTGTACTCCATCTAGCCACATTTTCTCTTTCCAAGTCCAAATGAATCATATAAGATTGTACTTGAAGTAACAAAGTTCCATCAAAATGAAAAAAATTGGAGGTGTGAAATACAATACTGATTCTATTGGACTGTTCACACATGTGCAAAACCTAATTGTTGGACTTGGTCATTCAGTATGTGTTTAACAGCTGTGTACTCATCCAATAGAATTCAGTTTTGTAGTCAATCATGTATAATAACCTCATAATATCATCAGAGCAATAATCATAATTCATTAATGATATTGGACCATGTGCTTTTACATTTTTTTTTTAAGTATTTTTTTTTAATATACTGTACACGTATTGTGACCATTGGGATATGGTATTAAACTGACCTCTTTAGACTTCCTTAAAAAAAAAGCAACCTTAAAACACAGAGTTCAGCAGCTAGAGTCCTTTATCAAGTAAGAAGGCTGTGTGATATTACTTATGAAATAATATTTTACAAAAAGATAGTTCTTTACATTTTATGGGACTCCATTGAGATCAAAAAGCCTAAAAGCATAAAATTTGACATCCATTACAAGGATCAACTTAAACAGAAAAATATGCCCAAAAGATAAGAAAGAAATATACTTAAAACTAAATTGAAAAATTGACTTGTTGTTGCATCTTTGCCACAATTTTTGAGTGAAACACTTTTCATTTATGGGGTTCCTTTGTGTTTGTTTTTTCTGCTATAGTTTTCAATAATTCTGGAAAAATTCGGAGTAAACAAATTAATCTTGAAATTTTGCATACAAGCTTTTTGTGGTCCAACTTAAATCTAGAAGAATAATAAATTAAAAAAATATATATATTTTCATTCCTGGTGATGTTCATAAAGAAATCATTGGGTTATACATTACAGCTAGTTTTTACATTTTGCAAACAGCACTGTCTCACTGTAAAACAATGTAACAATTTCCTCATCATTAATACCACGTCAATATATAAACTATATAAACCAAGTCGAAATATCTTACATAACTGAATAAAATTGTTTGTGAAAATTTTTATAACCAAAGGATTGCCCGGGCTCACAGATTGCAGCAATCTGCCCACCTCTTTTTCGATTTTAAAACAAACCCATCTTTGGATCGCGTGATTAAGATTTTTCCAGTGATATGTTCAGATAAATATAAATTTTCATTACAGAGTACATGTACTTATGTTTGAAACTAATGGGCACATTCCACGTTAATATTAAATTACAAAATCATTTTTGAACCTTGAAACTAGTCTGTTAGAAATGCATTCTTGTGCATTGGTATTTTTCATGACCTCAAAACGGGGGTTTGATCAGCAATTCTGTTCAATTTTTGAGAGATTTAAAAAGTTTACAAAGTGGGTTGTGGCATGAATCAGGTCCCTACCTCTAAGGTCGAAGGTCCACACTTTGTAAGTCTGTGACATAATTCTTTTTCAATGTAGTGCATTGCAAGATGGTTCTATCCTCGGTCAGCAATGCTGCCATTCCGGATATAGATTTTAAAAAGTTAATTTTGGAAGAATTATGTATTGACATGAATGGATGCAATGTGTTCACACATAGCGGCCCTTAAATCCAGTTTTCAAAGGTTTCAAGGTTCACACTTTGTATGTTCTAAAGTTGAAGATTGTAATAAGATTGCCTTCTTATGTGCATATATATAGCTTTTTCATTCATTGCTGTACTTTGAAATAATTATGCATAAATTTGTTGCTAATTGAATGAAACATGACACATGTTATAATTGAAGGTCACTTTCAAAAAAAAAAAAAAACATCTGAAGATAATCAATGGAAACTTCATCCAAGACCCTTTACTCTAAAATTGTGAACTTAGAAGATTCCTAGTATAACTCCCTGTATAAATTTTGTATTTGTGATCAGTCAGTGAAAAGAAGGCATGGCTGAGTGGTTAACATGTCTTCTATGAATCTCTAGTTGTGCCCTGGGTTAAAACCCCTGTAAATCGTGCAAGCCATTGTTTTCCTAGAGGCAACGGAACTTTACCACTCTTTGCTTGGCTCCTCCCCTGTTGGTTTTCAAGGAATGGATTCCGAAATGTTATGTTTATAAAGCTTTTAGCTTCCTACGCCAATCAAAACTAAAATAAATTCTGTTTTAAAATTCAAAGACCCCTGTTACCAAATCAAAGGGAAAACCTTAGAAAATAAGTAAAATTCCACCATTAAAAATAGTTTGCCCTTCTAAAGTAAAACCAGGTGTTAAAAATTAAATTATACATTAAACACAGCAGTTTAGATAAATTAATCAACAGAGCATACAAATATTGTTTTTAAAGATGTTTTTTTACTTGATTTGAATAGTATATTTTTAAAACGTGTTGCACTATTGTCTTATTGAGTGTATTTTTTTCTTCAGGTATAAAGATCAATATTGAAATATGTTGTTAAAATTAAGTCATGTATACATGCAAACTGTTACCAATGAAAAATGAGTCTATTCTTACCAAATGTATCCATTGTTTCTTAAGCAGTTAAACATTTTACACATAAATTGTGATAGAAAAGAATTCTCTATATTTGGAGATTAGGAACATTCTTTATGTCTGTAAGTGGAAAGTTGTACTTTTACTATTAGATTATTAAGAAATTATATATAGTATTAGATTTGTCTTGAAAGCTTAAGTGTGTAAAGCTAAATGGGGAAAATGTATATCAATTGTTGAGGGAAATGGGGCTGAATTTAGGCCCCAAAAGTTGTAAAATGAGGGCCCTGCAATGTAGCTGCTGCCTTTTGTTTGAACTTTGGAAAAAAAAAACTTCCAAAACACCTGTATGAAAGAAATATGTTTGTATGTTTCCTTAAGTTTAAGTGGGCACCAACCAAAAAGTTATTACTAAATGGTTCAAAACCCCTTACATGAAAATAGCCAGCATCTTGGTGGATGCTAAACTGTAGGTGACCAGTTTTTTGCCGTCAATATCAAAAGCCAGGACAGCCTGCACATCCATCGTTTGTCTTGTTACAGGCCCCCTGTACTGTGTGGTAGCCTCTAGTTTTTATATTTTTATATTGAAATCCAGTGTCTATGTCTTAGAAAGGGTGATGAGGGATCCTTCATCTTTTTTGGGAAATTCTCCTCCTATTTTTTGAGAGGGCCAGGGGAAAATTTTACAATAGAAAGTTTAAGAAGGAAAAAATCAACAAATGGAATAAATTCTCACTTTTTGGTTTTAAAAATCCCCTTTTTTTTCGAATCCTAGAAAAGTTCACTTTGGAAATCCTTTAAACTTTAAAAATTTCAGATCATTCCCTCAATTCTGTTGTTTTGGTCAAAATGGCCAAAGGGATGAAAAAGCGTATAAATGCTTATAAAATCAAAATTGGCTGAGAAAGAACACAAAAATATGTTTGTATTCAGTTTTCAGACCATAATTTCTGTAATATATTGATTTACCATTGTTTTCAGTACACAAGTTGTTTAATGTAAGAATTTAAACTTTTAAGGTTTGGTTCCAGTTTAAAAGGCTAAATTCTTAGAATGACCCTTTCGTGCAACCACTCATCATCATGGGAATTATCTTGTTTTTTTATTTCTATCTATTCACACTTAATTCTGAAAGAAATGTAATCATTGGGGTTATTATTACTTGTATGGGCAGTTATTCAAACATTCAAAAACATTCACCTTTTTTCTTTCTTTGGGCTTTTTTTTTAGGAAAAAGCAGAAGGAAAGTTTTACCCTTGAGGATAACTGTTGAAGATAACCAGACTCTGATGAATGCAGCAAAAAATACAATCCCCTACTAAACAGTCACTGGATAAGCCCAGTCAAGGTTAGAATAAATTTAAAAGTACCTTCGTATAAACTGATTTTTACATTTGTGGTCAGGTTTTTGCAGGTTTTTTTGATTTTAAAATTTTGTTTACTGTATAAGTATCATATGAAGTTTGATGAACATTAATGGACTTACAGTGGATAAAGGATAAATTGAGGATTACGAATGGGATACTTATTTAATACCTCTTACTTTAAATTGAAAAAAGTTGAATAAAATCATATTTTGAGAGCGCTCTTTGGCCGAGCCATG